TTTGATACGTGTGCTGCCTGACTTAAGAAAATGACTGATACAGCATAAAATTCTATTTCTGTCTTTTGACAGTTACTATATATTCTGTATTTATTTTTAGACTAAAATATACAGAGACAGTCCTGTACTAAAGACTACTTAAAGAAAACAAGCTGACAGTGAAGTGATCATATGAGTCCTGCTTCTTGAAGGCAAAATACTACATTTAGCTGTAGTAAACTTCACAGCATGTCCACCCTATAGTGAGACTTTAAAAAACTACACAAGGTGCCATAAGCTGCCATCTAGAACATTATGTGTGGACATGGAAGGCTGCTGGTAAATGTAGTGTTCTCTTTAACAGGGATCTTCCACGGTAGTGCTGGGGGCATGAGCTCAGGACACACATGGCACTGAGGGACACCAGAGCGGTCCTACCAAATCCCGTTAGGTAAGCCTGGGTTAGTGATTCCACGCTGCGAGACACTGGCTAGCAGATCCGTCACGTTCCCACTACATCAAAGGAAAGTACAGCGCTGCACCCCCTCCACACCCCCTCTTTCTCGCCATGAGGATCTGCAATTGAGGGTCCAAAGGGAAAAAAAGAGTGCACAGCAAAGGAGAGGAGCTCTCTTTACTCCCCCCCACCACCACCACAGCAGCAAAACTCGGCTTAAAAAAAATAATAAAAAATCTGCGATTCTATCCGTTTCTCTCCTCAAGCTGTTGCACAGACCATGAGACTGTTCTAACACAGCTGGAGATCACCAACACATCTTCAGTCAGGTGAAAAACCATGTACTGTATCTCTGTACGATCAACATTTCAAAACTACAAACACACACTGTCTTTATCTTGTCACTCATGCATTTTTGAGATGATTTAAAAGGATTTACGTAGGATGTCATGAGCCCGGAGGATGGGATTTCTTTAAATGAGTTTTTGTGATTTTAACAAAAGGGAAATGTGTGTGTGACAATGGCAATATGACCTGAGAATAGATTTCAGGCCATTTGCATGCCTGTTGATCTTTATTTATAAGCTGTCATTTTTAATTTCTCACTTGAGTTTAGGAGGCTGCAAACCCCCTCAAAGCAGTGAACTCCTTCTCCCAAACATCAAACATGGAGTGATGACATCCTAACTGCTCCAAAACATAATACTTCTCAACCATTATTATCACTGCCATTATGGGGTATTCTGATAATTCAGACCAGAAACCGTAATAGCATGTTTCATTTGTCACTACAAATGACATCACAGAAGCCAGAGAAATCACAATCCTTTCCACTTCTTCATAATACTGTGTCCTAGTTTTACACACCAGAGGCCAAAGCTTATAATATAAGTATAAATATATGTGGACATGTCTCTTCACATTATCTAACGCATCGGAAAGACACAGTGATCTGATCAGAACGGAGAAGACATCAAACTAGAAGAAACAAGATTTCTTCTGGAGAATTTTGATTTCTCAATGATATATACTGTACACTGTATGCTTGATTGGGTGTTTAACATGTTCCCATATGCATATCAGAGACACTGTTGTTGTGGCAGTGAGGTGGGATGACAGAAAAACCTAATTTCTAAAAGTTATAGTCCTATAAATAAATGATGTGATCTTACATCAGACTATAACTGAAATAAATAAATATACATATACATACACATACACACACACATACACTTCATATATACCAGCCAATTTCCTGCTTTAACCTAATTCCTCTGAATATCCCCCTTCTTTGTGTGTGCATATAAAAATAGACAACACGATGAATAATATTAACTCAAAATGGGCATGTATGACGATCCCTATAAATCATATACAGCTACACCAGCTCCAAGCATCTTGTGCAATTAAAACAATGCCCTTTTTGCTCCTCCAAAAGGTCCACATCACATGATGGTGAACTTCCAAGTCGCTTCACTTTCTGGACAGGATGCCCTACAGACTCCACATCCTAAAACAGCTATAGGTTTACATAAACATCAGGGTATTCATAACACACCAGTGACTCTTTGAAGTGGTCAGCGCTGTTTTAAATCCACATTTATATGCAACTGAACACCATTAGGCATCTTGACACCAAAATCTCAAGTCTTGTGGCGGAGGCGACTTATCAAGCTAGAAGCCCCTAAAATCTGCTGACAATCAGCTACTCCCAACAGCTCCATCATGACTGGACGGCATGTGCAGGAATGTCATGGTCAATGGAAATCAATCTAAACTACTGGGATTGGGGGCGGCAGTGGGGCTGGGGATGGAAGAGAATGAAAGAGAGAATGTGCCTTTGATCTCAGTGAAAACCGATCCCAGGCCTGCAGATACTGTGGCTGCGGTGGCCAGCAGCAGAGGCAGCGAGCTGACATCAGTGAGAAAGCCAGAGGACTCGTGTTCCGTGATCCTTCCACCAAGCCTTGGCTCTTTTTATTGGATAAGTGAGAGAAACGTATATAAAATGACTACCGTTTTATTGAAGACAGGGTGGTGGGGGGGGGGAATTGGGTGGAAAAAAAAGCAGGCATGGTAAATGAAATGAAAGCGAGGCTTTAAAAGTTTTGGCAGCAAGTGCCTGGCCTAATTCATCTGCAGTGAGGGGTAATTTCCTCTCATACAGTCAGCTGGTCTCCATACAGACCTTTGAGTTTTTCACTGTGTACGATGGAGTAATTGATAAAATTGACCAGAAAACAAGCCATAAAAAGAGAATTTGGAAAGCATCACATCCCACATTTCATACACCATTCTATTAGTAAGCTGAAGAGGGCGAATCATGAGGTAATCAGGATCACGTTTTCTCCACAATGCCACATACTTTCACCCTCTGCAACTTTGGCAGAGGTGGAAGCAATGCAATTTTAACATCATTCCGCGATCGAGTTGCGTGTGAATGAGGTTCTTTTGCACACAGCATGTGGCATCTGCCCCCGACAATCACATCTGCCTCCGAAAGTCGATTCTTATAATAACACAGAACTCACATTTCACAACTTTACCCTGATGAAACCGACTCGTACGCACTGAAGAAGCACAAACAACCCAGAGCCTTCAGTTCCTCTGCACCATGTGTGAGCGTTTCCTGTATAGGAGGCACCAAAGGCCAGACTGAAGCTGGTTGTCTTCCCAAGTGTGATACAGAGACATGGACAAAACAGGATTAGAGTGGACAGCTGCTGGTGTGCCCTGCATTTTTATGTCTGTCTTGAGAGGAGAAATTTGCAAATGGGACAGACACAGGAAGCCGCCAGTGAGAGACCTGCAGCTGGCCTGAAATTAATACCATTACAGGGACGATATCTACAACAACACACGCCGCCCCTGGACGGCACCATAAACTCCTCTGCAGGGCAGCCTCAGAGACATGATGTTGCCTTTTAGGCCTCCTCTGTCATGCAGGGCTAATTAGAGGGCTTACTTGGGTCATGTAGACATGCATCACTTAGGATTTTAACAAGATGAGAAATACTGTATATCTCATGTTAATCTTCTGTATGGCAGGCATTTGGTTACCAAGTATCACATTGTGGTTGTCAAGGGGACGGGAGTAAGCAAGGCTGGTTTTTCAAACAATTAACATTGCAAACATTGGTAGTGAATATTTTCTGGTTTTTAAGTTGTAAGTATTATCATATGTGAAGTTTGTTAGTTTGAAAGTCAAGAAATGTGGTCTGGCACCTGCACTGCTGGTTTTGTCATTACTTTTTATCCACAGTCCAAAGTTGCTGGTCAATAACTTTTTTTTTTTTTTTTATAGGGATCATTCCCTCAGTTAACCTTGATATTCAAAACTAAATGTCTTGGTATGATTAGTAAATATTAAACGTTTATTTGACAATAAAATACACTGCATGTATTTTGACCCAATGTACTATTTTTATCTAAGAGAACATGAGAACACTCTTATACTGATCTTTTATTTAACCTCATGTAGGGTTGCAACTAAGGACTTTCTTATCAGTCTAATCTGATTTTTTATTTTTTTATTGGTCTCTAAATGTTACAAAAATAACAACGCTGAGATATAACTAACTACCGCAGATGGAAACAATATTTAAAATGTTCTTATTTTGTCGAACCAAAAGTATAAATATATAGCAAAATACAAGTAAATGCTCACATTTGAGAAGCTCAAAAACTTTATTAGAAACAAACAAAATCAACTGTTAAAATTAGGGCCATTTTACAGTACCTTATAATAATTTGAATGGTGATACTTTGTTAGTAATAAGTATTGCAATCCTTCCAATGTACTTTACATTTTTTATCGATTTCGAATTACTTTATCAATAAGGACCTCTGATAGAATCAGTGATTAATAATATCATAAGTAAGCGTTTTCAAAGTGAGACAGCGTAGCAGGTACAGCAACAGGTTTCTTTCTCCCTCCTCAGTCTCCATGTTACATAAATTGTATGACAGAGTTTACAAAAAACTTTTGTCATCTCGCTTCACTTCGTGCTGAAACTGTGAAATCTGAAACAAACTAGAACTTGGGTTTAACCTGACCAGGTGCCACCTGATCTATCATCATCCTCCATGTTTGTTTTTGCTTTCAATCCCACAAGTGCATGTAAATAAAGCAAAGCAGCACTTTACCAACTTTTAATAGAATTAAAAAATATATGAACCTCAACCCCCCACAGAGAATAACAGATGCCTCAGATATACAAACAAAATAACATTGATTCCAGTGTCATTTTTCTCATCGCTAATTAAAACAGTCAGTGATTTAATTTCTGTCAAAATTAGATTTCACTCACTATATATGGTTGCCATGCAAAATTCAGAAAGGCTTATACCTTTGTAGCTCTTGAATTGCTCCAATAACTGAGCTGCCTGAGCTGATTTTTGTTATTTCTGATTCGGGCGAAACACGGTTTTGACATACTTATTGTCAGGTTGTCAGGCTCAAGTTCAGTGTTACACCAACAGCATTTCATTCCACGATATCTTATGAGTTAAACTGATAAACTGACTTGTAGAAAAAAAAAAACACCAAGAAGTTGGTACTGACCGTTCTGGGCATGGGCGGCGAGAGGGAGCCATTGTTCATGTAGGAGTCGTTCATGTTGCTCATCATGATGTAACCTGGGTACCCCGTGTATGGATGCCCTTTACTGTACATGTCTTGAAGTTTTCCTGATAAAAAAAGGGGTTACAAAGCGACAATTTACTGTGTGTTGGCAAAAGGCTCACATGGGGCAATTTTTAAATTTATCAAGATCAAAACTCTAAATTTCTCACTATACTAAGACTTTAAAAACACAAACAAATCTTACAAATGACAAATTCTGAATGTGCTTCAGTCAGTAAATCAGGCAAGAAATAATTAGAAAGCTTAACACAAAGTTCGCCTCCCTGTTTTGATGCTGTAATGATATCACTGCCGATCGCTTTAACCCATGCCCTATTTTGCCTCGGCCTTTTGTTTGTGCCCTTTCTTCCCGTCTTGGAGAGGAGGGTCGTATTATGCAGAGGAACAATGGAGCCCCTCTGTGCCAATTAGCACCAATTAGAAGAACATACAGACTGTGTCAAAACAGGAGACGCCCCAACTGTTCCTCTATGCCTTTGACCTGAGAGGGGGAGCTTTATGCAAGAGGCCTCAATACAGCGCCACTCAACTGCACGCTGTGTAATAAGGCCGTGGGGGGGGAGAAGGGTTGGGAGTGTTTGTGGTATATATATCCTGATGGCAACATGGATCTTGTTATGAAGAAAGCCAGTGTTTGGTTTGAGGAGGGGGGGGTTCTATTCAGGAGTGAAAGGGGAACAAAGAGGAGACACACTCCTCCTTCAAAGCCCCAATGATGACCTGCAAAAGCGGGGTCAGAGTACAACAGCCAGAGGGAGACGAGCCCCGAGCGGCAGCGACACGTTGCATGTGACAGAGCGACCGGAGGGCTGATGTATGTGGGAAAATAGTTTATTGGGGGTAATTGCATAATAAGAAACACAAGAACCAGTTAAAAAATGTGATTCGGAATTGATGAACAGCATTTTCATCCTCCTCTCAATCCAAGTATGTTTGTTTTCCGTTTCTGCAGGCACCCTCATCTGTGAGGTGGGCAACACGTAGCTGCGTCAATGAAGGTACAGCGTGTCCTGACAAGACTTGGATCAGACATTATCAGCCTGAGAGCAGCAGAAACCGGGGCTCTGATAAGAATAGGACCAAACAGTGCAGGAGTGTGACTGATTACTTCCGTGTGTGGGGAAAACGAGGTGGCCCTTCTTGACACTCCCCCCCCTTCGCCTCAACTTCTCAAGCTACAGCTAATTATTCTAAAAAATCTAGGACTTTATTGCAGCTAAACGACTGGCCTGTCCCTATAAATGCATGCTGATTTAACAAGCTCTTGCTTAAGGCTGTGTCACTTACCATCATCCGAATGGTCTCTGTGTTTTTCATGATATGAATCTTGCGGTATTTGGGACTGTCTAGCTGCCTGTGAAAAAAATAAAATAAAAAAATTAAATGATGGTGAATCAATTAGGAGGGCCTTCAAACGCAGTTACACACACAGACATGCTGATACGGACACCCACAAAACACTGCTGGGACAAATGTCGTCCCTTTTGCTTGTCACCAAAGCAGAATAAGCTTGCACAGACACACACACACACACACACACACACACACACACACACTACTATCTATAGAGGGGTGATGGAGCAGTCTGCATCAAAGCTTCAAAAGAAGCACTTAATTAAGCATCATGTCCTTAAGGAGCTTACAAATTAACTTGTTTTCAATACCATAGGTCCACTCTCATTTTCATCTCTCAGTTTAAGCCTTGTTCAAAATTCAAATAAATGGATGTGTTTTGAATTAAAAGCCTATGTGCAAAATGAAAAAAAAAGAGGAAATGGTGGAGACAATTTTTAGCTTTTAAAAAAAAAATCCCCTGCTTTCCTCACATCCATTTCCTTTCTCTTTTCGCATCAGAATTGGGAAGAGGACCTCTTTTTTGGAGTTCAGACCCCTCAGGATGGCTTCAAGCTGAGCGAGGGAACTTCACTGGATTCCTAATTAACATTCAGCCTCCGTCTTGTGCGTCTCTAGGACATTTGGTGGTGAATGTGTACAGTCTCGTTCAGGATGTGCCCAAAATTTCATTAACACTGCAGTTAATGACAAAACTTGATGATGGGGAAGCTGCAGCCTGCATCCTGAGGTCAGTGCACGAGGAAAAACATTTTTTTTACCTGATGATGTTTCATGCCCACTCTGTGTCTCTATGTGTGCTAATGAAATGCTATCTTGCAAGCACGGAATATAATGCAATTTTAGAAACATTAAAAATTCATCAGTGAGAATTCTCCCTATATGTATTTACATACACAATGAATTCAACACATTTATACGTTTTAGAATTTCTTTTGATAGACCCCCATCTTGCCTTCTTTTAATCTGATCCAGTAAGGACACACAAAAAACTAATGTAGCTGTAAATGTGATTAAAATATTTCTCCCCAAAACAATGTAAAAATAATTTACTGGCACGGTTAAATGGACACGACAATAATGAAATATGAGAAGGACCTTACAAATAGATAAACAAGCACATCCTGGTAACAAAATAATTGGATATTGTCCCTTTGTTTATGCTGTATTTTATAAGCTGTGACCTTTGAAATAAATTAATCATCTTGTTTGTCAATAGGTTTTATGCCACGTGTGCTAAACAGATTCATGTGCTGGTGTTTACAGCTGCTGAGGGTTATCATAAACCCCTGCAAACACAGCTATTAGCCTATTTGTCACAGGCAGCACACAAGGCCCCAATTCTTACGTCTCAATATCGTTCTATTATTTTTTCCCCAAAATGTCTGTGCAGATTAATTAAATACAGCTGTCACATATGGTCAGGTGTGCATTTTAAGACTATAATGCTTCCAAAATGAAGATTTTCAGGTGCTTAAGGTGTGGAAGAGGGAAAGCTGGTACACCTGTGTCTGCAGACTTTGAATGGCATCACTAAAAGCTATTAATTTTCAAAATAAAAGTGGAGGCTATAAATGCACCTGGACTCAGCTTATTTTATTTATATTTTTTTGTCTTTATGATAAAAAGGTTTAGCATGTACTGTAAAATATGAGCAAGGTCTTCACAAGAGGAAATTCATTTCAGGCCAGTGTTGTCAATTTGCTTTTTATAGCATCTTCTAAAGCTGACTAACAATTCAGACAAACCCACAGCAATTAATGTCAAAGAGCCACAAAGACTCTGATCTTTTTAAATGACTAAAAAAGGGGTAAAAAAAAAAACTAAAACTAAAACAGATTGTTTACAGGCTGTCTCCTCTCCCTGATGGAGTTCAGAGTTGATACCCACCTTCCCTCATCATTCACCACATCAGTGAACGCACACACACACACACACACACACACACACACACACACACACACACACACACACACACTACTCACATCGTGGCTGTTGCTGTTGGGGCTGCTCTCTGACTCGTTGACCAGAGATGACTTGATGTCTGCCAGGTCTCCCTCCTCCTCGGAGTGGCTGAGCTCCGCGAAGATCTGCTCCTTGTGCGGGTCTCCTTCGTCTTTGAACGGGATCATTTCGTCCGTGGCGCACAGCTCCGGGTCTCCGCCGCCGCCTGACAACTGTGGCATTTTGTTTATTATTTGTTTATTTCTATGGGCTTTTCTCACCAGGAACACTGGAGACAACACACACACACGCCAGCACTGTCCGGAACTAGAGAGAGTGGGGTGTGGGGGTTTGGGAGGGGGGGGGGGATAAAACTCCCACTAAAATCCCCCGAAACAAGCGTGGGGGGAAAACGTCCCCTCTTATTTTTAAATGGAGCGTCGACCGTGAGTCACCGGGAGAGGAAGCGGCGTGCAAACACGCTGCCGTGCCGGTGTGTCTTTACTGAAGCAACAGGAGCACTGTGGCTGCTGTCGGCGTCCTTTTTCCTTTTCTTTTCTTTTTTTCCCCCTCCTCTTTTAAACCACGAGTGTTTAAACTAAAAAGGACTCAAAGTCAGACCCGAAAAACTTGAGATGTAAAGGCTCAGAATGAGAGTCCGGTGCACGCCTCAATGTCATGAGAATAAAAAAAAAAAACCAAAAAAAAAAAAAAAAAAAAGAGGAGACAAACCAAACGAGTTAAAATATCATCACTTTTTTAAGTGAACATACACAACCGACGACGGGTACGGTCCAGTACAAAAAAAAATAAAATAACTCAACGTTAAAAAGTGCATTTATAAAAAATTCAAAAATAAGTGAGAAATGATATTTCCCCGGTGGTCCAGTGAAAAAGAGAGATGTGGCGTCCTTGCGAGGAGGAAAAAAAAAAAAAAAAAAAAAGTAGGATAACAAAACCAAAACACCGTGTTGGAGGTGAGAAGGTAAATGATGGATGTGCAACTTGGAAGAAAAACACTTTTAACACTTTAGAGAGGACAACAAGCGACGCGGTGAGCCGCCTCAAAATACATCCTCAAAGCCGGTCGGGTGAGGAGGGATAAAAGCAAAAAAGTCGTAAAAACAATCAGAAAAAAAGAAGATAGAGAGGAAAAACGTCGCGGATCGACTTCCCACTGCTCCCGCACTGCTTCCACAGTGTAATGTAACCAGTGTGTGTATGTGTGTGTTGGTAATGTAGCTATGCTCCCTCCTCCTCCTCCTCCTCTTTCTCTCTCTTCAGTCATTGGGAGGAAGGAGAGATGAAAGGGAAGCCGAGGCTCTGATTGACACCGTACCGATTGACACTCCTCCTGAGAGAGAGAGAGAGAGAGAGAGAGAGAGAGAGAGAGAGAGAGTCATACACGGCTCACAACAAATGGGCAGACACGAGAAGAAGAAGAGGAAGAAGAGGAGGAGGAAGAAGAGGGGAAAGAAAAGAAGTGGTGAGGCTGACACGCGCTGTGTGTGCTGGGTTCAAACAATCATGATAAATAAAAATGATAATAGAGGGAAAAAAACAAAAAACAAGACGAGCTCTAACTTGTTTGGCCGAGGAAGAAGAAGAACAAGAAGAAGTGAAATTTAATAAAAACGCAAGAAGTGGCAATCGCGTTATATTGAGGAGAAATACCCAACAACCCGAGGCCACGTTAAAAAAGAAGAAAGCAAAAATATTTAGCGCCTTTCCATGTGTGAAAACCAGGTGCATATCTGGCTACTCCTTTTCACCAACCTATAAAACTATTATATAAAGATTTATTTGAATTTATTTATGTATTTATCCTGTTAACAGTTGGGAATAGATGGGCTGCGTGTGTTTTATTTCTACCTGTCTAAATAGCCTTGTACTGGAAATATTAAAGGTGCGATTTCCCACGCTCTCTAACAATATGTGCAAATATTACATTCATGCTATTCGACTTTATAATGTCGCACTGTGGTCTTTTTTTCCCCCACAATGTAACATAGTGGTTTAACGAAATAAACCGAGGCCAAAGGGTCCCTACACGTTTGGATGTCAGCAACAATTTAATATATATAGGTTCAAGTCTGAAGTCTCAGCTGATCCAACACCATCTGTATGAAAGGATGGTAATGGGTGAAACATATGAGCAGACATTATTTTCATTCATTATAGGCACATACACACACATAAAAAAAAAAAAACGAAGGACCCAGATTGAGGGCCAGTGGCACACCAGAACTGTTTTCCAGTTAGGTCTGTTACTGAGGGGGAAAACACAGATTCGAACCATATAAATGAATTTGACAATTAGGCCTCATTAAGAATGGAGGGGGAAAAAACCGTGTAAAAACAAGGACACAAACATATGGGGGGGAGAAAAAGGGTTAAAAGAAAAGAAGAAACTTTAAGTCTTTGAGTCGAATATTTCATGAGAAAATACGAAGGGGAAAAAGAAAAAGAAAATAAACCAAAAAGGCAGAGTGGAAGTGGCGTGCTTTCTGTGTGTCTGTCTGAGCAGCGAGAGATTGCGTGAGAATCAAAGTTGGGATGGGGAGGCAGATCTTTATAAAGCGCGGAGGTGGGGTTAGCGGGGCGGAGCCGCGGCTGCCTTTGATCTTGCGGCGGCTGGCTCTTTCATCCCCGACTCCCCCCGCCCGGTTTCCCCCACACCGCCTCCCTCCCTTCTTCCCCTCCTTCCCTTCCCTCGCTCGCTCTCGCCCCCCCCCTCGCTCTCCCTCGCCTTTGTATGACTAAATTTGGTCCGAGTTTGGAGCCGGGCCAACATTTCCACGTGTGCGTTCATCCCAGCTGAGAGAGAGAGAGAGAGAGAGAGAGAGAGAGAGAGAAGGGGTTCTCTTCCGGGTAAGGAGACAGCGAGACAGAGAGAGAGAGAGAGAGAAAAAAAAAAAAAAGATCAAAGGCTTTTCGGTTTTGGAAGCCGAGTGTGGATTCAAAAGAGCCGAGACTGGCTGCATTCCAGAGTATAGCGGAAAACGCGCGCACAAACACGCGCGCGCGAGTACGCACGCACGTGGGATACAGGCACCAAACACACGCGCGTAAATACAGCACTGAGAGTGAGAGAGAGAGAGAGAGAGAGAGAGAGAGAGAGAGTTAATTAGAAAGATTTCACACAGGCAGACCCGAACAACCAAAAACCTTTCATTAAAAAAAAAAAAAAGAAAAATCCTTTAACATTATTTCTTGTTTTCAGCCAAAAAAATTAAAAGGAAGAAAAAAATGTGGTACAAGGTATAAAAACTCTGGCTGTTTTCCTTCCTGCTCTGTAGAAAGTGTCGTTCTACTTAATTACAGTACTTCTTTAATTTAATTATCCACCACTTTTTTTCCCTTTTTTTTTCTGGCACAATCTTAGTTAAGATTAAGCAACCAACATCCAACACCAGCCTAAAACCAGGCTAGGAACAACCTCATTGCCTTGAAATATATATATATATATTTTTTCCTTCTGAGTCTTTTACAGCATTCACCTTGGATATGGTCTTAATCATAAAATTAGGAGAAAAGGGGAAATCAAGGAGGGGAAACAATTTTTGGTAGGCCTATTAAGAAACTAAAAAGAGACAGTACAGGCCTTCAGGGCCTGAGGTAAGAGGTGAAGGGATCCAACTGTGAAAAATGAACCAGATTAAATAAATCATAGGACTGAATGATTCATGTTTGGTTTTTGGCTTTGGTTTATTGGCATTGTAACGTATTATAAAATATGACTTTGTTAGGGATAACCTTAATCCTAATATTCTGTTTGGGGGTCCTCAAGGCCCCAAGCCCTCTTTAACGGCTCAAAAAACACGCTTAATAGTTTTATGACCTTGATACTTCATGATGTTTGCTATTTTTATAAGAATTGATTATAAACAGGATTTTGGGATGATGACATTTCAGAAAATGGCACAGTACTTGTGTTTAAGGTCTCCGACTACTGCCCTCTGAATTTCTGTAACTGAAGTTAAGAATTAGATCTCGCAAATATAAGTAACGCCACAATTTAAGATAATATACTGGCTTTTTGGTATAAAATTAAATATATATTTTCTTAATGCATATCCCATATAATATATAAAATATACATAATATATAGCTGTGGTCATTTATGTCCATTATGCCAAGTTTGTGGCAAATGGAAGAGGTATCACTTTAATGCTTTTATATTTTAATAAATGCAGAAGATGTTAAAAAGAATAGGTTGATTTTTTCAGTTGTAATTATTATTGTTACACATACACATGTGGGACCCCAGCAAACAGAGAAGAAGTAAAGCCAATGCCAATAAAAAACAAATGGTTTAATCAAGATGTAGACAGGCGTTCACTGCTGGAATATTGAATCATAAAAAACACACAGTACATTTTTTAAGAAGCACATAAGGTAGGAGGTATCACAGACATCTCAAAAATCAGAAATGTTACGTAATGCAGTGCTGTAGGTTGTATATCAGCCTCAAAAGAAACAAGAAAAAAAAGGCAATCCGGGTATTAATATCAATAAAAGAACATCTTATCTCATCTTATCGAGCTAATTGTGTTTCCTGTCACTGGACATTTTTTAAACTCACCTAAAAGTTAACTAGAATTTTATATTCTGGTCTTGAAAAGGGAAGCGAGAGAGTGAGTGAGAGATTCATTATTTAATGCCCTCTGCTGCATGATGAGAGACCACTGCAGAGAAGTCTATCTTCCTGGTTAGAAGGCCTGTGAGGAGGGGTCATTTGTTCACCACTGATGTACATATTTTGTTGAGCAATAGCCTATAGATTTTTGTATATATTTAATAAATGTTGTTGGCAGCAGTAGAATAAGTACATCAGTAATAAGCCAGCATAGATAAAGATGCAGCTTTGGTTTGCTGTGTAATGATTCTAGTTTAGCGACCTGATGACAAGGCAACAAACGACAGCCTCTCTAATGAAGACGCTGTCACAACCACCTTACACACTTTTCCCTTGACATCACAATGCATGATATTCTCCAGCGTGGCTCTGTGCATCGCAGCCCTGGTTGTTAAAATAACCAGGAAAGTTGGGAGTGGAGAGAAAAAGGAGAGAGAAGGAAGAAGGGGAGGAAAAAACAGAGCTACATTAGCATTTCTCTCCTAATGAGTTCATAAGAGTGACCCCTCTGGATCTCACATGAAAAAGAAGATTTCCTGCTGCGCTGTGACCTGAATTCAGTTGTCTCTCACTTTAGATACTACATTTTGCATGTTATATAAGGCAGGAATATATCTATACACACGGCATAATTTATCATCAGTGGATTTCAATTCCTCATCTCCCGCCGTAAAGACCAGTAGTCAATCTGAAGAAGGTACTAAAAATATTAATGATCTACACATTGTGGTGAGATACAAAGTGTGAATGAACACAATGCATATTTAGCATATTTAGTTTTATATTATGTTTTTTTTTTCCCCTCCGTCTTATAAAGTTGGGAGAGCATATCAGTTTAGTAGACAATGTGAATTGTGTCAAACAAAATGCTTTTTGTTGAAACAACATTCAGTCAAGGTCCTCTTTAGATCTATTATTGTCTCATCTTTTATCTGTTCTATTTTCATTGCAGTGCATAATACTTCAAACAGAAATTACCCTAATTAGTTCGCGCTTTATGCTGTGAATGTGTGTGTGTGTTTCTCTGACTGAGCGTGTGTGTGTGTGTGTTTGAGCCTTTTCAATGTGATGATTTTTCAATATCAGTTCCTAAATTCACCTGCCAGGTAAGTTCAACGGTGAAATCCCTACTCTGCTGTCTATTCCACCTGCTAGTCATTCATAACAACTTCCTTGATGTAGAAATTACAGCCCTTGAGCTCCAAGCCATCTCCAAGAAAACGACAGGAAACAAACATCAAATTATGATGAAAAGAGCTTGCAATTAAAGCCGAAAAAGACACCATTTATCAAACGTGCAAATCAAAAAACGGGGGAGGTCCGAGGTGAGTGATTATTTGTGCTGCTCTTTGATTGGTAGGAGGTGAGTCACCTTCTTGAAGGGGAGGAAAGTGTCTTGGGGGTAAGGTGAGGAAGAGAGAGGCGAGACGTGTGATCTGTTGATTTATGGCAACGTTGTCAGGAGGCTGTTTCAAACAAACTATCATTAAAATGAAATTATCTCCTTGATGGAAGAGGAGGGGAATTTGTCATGCTATGTATATATTTTGGATGAGTCCAATTTGGAAAGGAGAGGCTAGGGTTTACAAAAAGAAAGCCATAAGTCAAAAAAAAAAAAAAAAAAAAAATTTGACATGGCGCTATGTGATCAAAGTTGTTATGATTCATC